ATGGCTCTGGGTGCTATGAGAAAGGGGTCAGTAGAAAGTCTCTCAGAGTCCTGTGGGGGGGTCAGCAGCATGACTTTGTAGGTTCTTCTGGGGGTTGGTATAACATCTCATTTAATGCGAGGAGAGGTCAGCGTAATGCTTGTGCCGAAGCTGAAAGACTCTGGATAATACCGCTTCGGGTGGTACAGCGAGGGGTCACAGTGATGCTTCTCAGGGTGCCATGCTGGGGTGGGGCAGGGGGGGGGTTTGGGGTAATGTTTCTCTCAGTGCGGTCAGTTTATCATCGCTTTGGAGGTGAAGGGAGGTGAGCGCGATGGCTCTTTGGGTGCAGCGGGCAGCCCCTATATGTCCCCCTGGGGGATAATCCCCATGTTATCTCAGCCGCGGTGCTGGAATCCTTTGCAGCTGGAACGATAACGTGAACAAACAGCTCGAATCATTAGTGCAGAGACATTGTGTAATCAGAGCACTAATCTGCAGCTAATCCCAGCGTCTCCACAGCCAGGCACCCGGCGGTGGGAACCTGCACATATCCGGCCGCCAGGCCCCTCCCCCTCCTGCTCCTTTTTCTCAGGCCCACTCGCCTTTTTCAAAAACGTCTGCGCTTTTGTGTTTTTAAACTGTGGCAGAGTATGATTCGGCAGCCCAGGAATAAAAATCAATACCGCCTTTGACAACATCAAGATTTCTTTTTCCAGAGCGTTATTATTTTCTCTCCCTCCTCGGTCTGCAGCATGGTGCCTGGAGCACTCTGGGCTAGGGTGCTGAATAGCTGAAGACTGAAATACTAAAAGCTAGTCGACTATTGGCTGGCAAGCTAAAGGCTTCAGTGGTGTGGGCTAGGGCCCTCTTGACTGGAAAGCTAAAGGCTTCAGTGCTGAAGGCTACACAACTATTGACTGGAAAGCTAAAGGCTTCAGTGCTGAAGGCTACACGACTATTGGCTGGCAAGCTAAAGGCTTCGGTGGTATGGACTAGGGCCCTCTTGACCGGAAAGCTAAAGGCTTCAGTGCTGAAGGCTACACGACTATTGGCTGGTGTGGGCTAGGGCCCTCTTGACTGGAAAGCTAAAGGCTTCAGTGCTGAAGGCTACACGACTATTGGCTGGTGTGGGCTAGAGCCCTCTTGACCGGAAAGCTAAAGGCTTCAGTGCTGAAGGCTACACAACTATTGGCTGGCAAGCTAAAGGCTTCGGTGGTGTGGGCTAGGGCCCTCTTGACTGGAAAGCTAAAGGATTCAGTGCTGAAGGCTACACGACTATTGGCTTGCAAGCTAAAGGCTTCGGTGCCGAAGACTAGGTGACTATTGGCTGGCAAGCTGCAGGTTTTGGTACTTTAGGCTAGGCCCCTATTAACTAGAAAGCTAAAAGCCAGTATGTTAAGGGTTAGGCCACTGTTAGCTTGAAAGCTAAGTGCTAAAGGCTAAAGCACCGCTGTGTAGAAAGCCAAACGCCTAGCGCGCCATTTGCCTGAAAGCTAAGAGCTTGAGTGCTGAAGGCTAGGAGCCTTATTGGCTAGACTGATAATGGCTGGGGCGGTATTGGCTGGGTTGCTATTAGTTATGTCACTTTGGGGTGCAGCGCTGAGGGAGAGGGTGGGAAGAGGTAGGACTCTATTGGCTGGGGTGTTTTAAGAGGCACAGAAATATTAGCTGGAGTGCTAGAGCTTAGGGTGCTAAGGGCTGGCCTGTCACTGTATTCCTCCAACGTGTCACCCTTGTTCTCGGAGCACAGCCTCCCCCAGTGGCACCTCTGTTAAAAACCCCTGCACATCTCCTTCAGCAGCCCCCCCCCCCCCCCCAGCACCTCCTCATCATGCTTAATTGCACCATGCCAAATCAGTGCATCCCACCCCCTAACCTCACGACAAAAAAAAAAAAAACAGGTGCTGAGCCCACAGATTCTTCTAAATCCTTTCTGTCACAATGGGTGACTATTGGTAAATGGGGAGAGAGTGTGCACACACCAGATTGGGGGGGCAGGGGGTGGGGGAGGTGTGCGTCACACATTCCAAGTCCAAGTGGAAGCAACTGCAGATTTGTCACTGTCTTCTCGAGGCCCTCCCCGGCCCTGTCGCACATTTCGCTGCCGAGGGTGCCACGCTGCGCCGCACCCGGGTGCCAGCTGAGGTGAGAGCCAGCCCTTCCAACGACGTGGAGGGACACCTTTGATGTCCTTTTCCTGAAACATCAAAGTGCAGATTTAAAAAAAAAGAAAAAAAAAAGCAGGGGGGGGACCAGGGGCAGCAGCGGTTTAAAACGTTCCTCACGTTTCATCACATCACAAACAACACGAAACAAAGCCGCTCCGCATCCAGCCGCTTACGCTCGGTGCCGGGGCTACGAAACGAGCAAACGGCCCAGTGGGTTCCGCGCGGCCGTCGCCACGGAGACGCTGGATGGACAGACGGACAAAGGAGCATGAGGAAGGCAGAGGAGGAGCAGGGAGACGCGGAAGACGGGGCCAGAAATCATGTAAAATAAAGGAAATTTATACCACAAAAAAAAAATCCCCATTGGCAATAAGGATTGGGACAGAAAGGGATTAAATGCAGAGTGACTTAATAGGTATGAATAAATACATTTAATGTAAGAGGTGGGGTCCAGAAACATCTCGCAGGGCTTTGAAGAACAAAGAGGCAAGTGGTTATGAATCCTCATGCGGAGAGAGGAGGCAGAACATTCTGGCAAAGAAGGCCATTTTTGGGGGGGGGAGGGAGGCAGGGGGGGGGGGGGGGGCTGCAAGGGGCAGTGGGCAGAAGAAGAGGATGAGGGTTGACCAGAGCGGACTTGGGGAGAGCGCAGATGCAATTTTAACTTTTTTTTTCAGTTTTTAAAAACCTTGGCAAAACCGTAATAACTTCTGTCACACCAATAAAGATCATCTGAGAATGAATGAAAGCGACAGAGGCGGGTGGGGGTGCATGAATGCGGAGGAGCGAGAGGCGCGGAGGGAAAAAGAAAGGGTCGGAGGAAAAGAAAGAGAGTAACCTCATTACCAGCGCGTTATTTTCACGGGCCGCTCATT